TTGCATTAGCAGTGCTGCCCCTGACCAGCAGTGCTGCTCCTGAGTGTGGTTATTGTTCTGTAATATAATTATCTAGCTCACAGCTGCCCAAAGGAACTGAGAAAGAATAGTGACACCTGGAAAACAGCAGCTTGCTAATATATACATATGGATGCTGTCTTCCCTTTGATCTATGTACTGGGAGCAAGGATGTACTATTTATTTTTATTCAACAGAGAATGTATAAGTTCAGCAAAGGTCTTAGGAAATGCCTCGGTGTGAAAGCTTTTTAGAGATGATTTCATTCTGCTACGACAAGGAGGCGGCAAACAGGATAAAAATTTGCTTTATTATCCCCAAATAAACCCAATGTATCAAACTGTGTTGCCTGCTATTTCCTCCCCATCATAAAAAATTTTCCTCAAATACAAAGCCTGATATCTGAAGTGATAAGTCTTGTAGCTGACCAGAAAAGTATTGCAAAGTGCAATCAGCATGTCACATCTGGTATATCACATTGCAAGAAGCATTACAAGACTATAGTTTTATTGCATCCCTGCTCCATATCTTAGCTTTTAGACAATTCAACTGTACTTTGTCACAAGGTTGACACGGACATGGGGCGTTATATTTTCCCTTACATTTCCTTATCTCAGTCCTCAGACTGTTTCTTGGGCTCACTTCAATCCATTCTATAGAACACTTTGTTGAACCCCCTCTGGATCCCAGCCACTCCTCCTATTAGGTCGTTGTTTGTACAGAGGCCATCTCACTAATGGTGGAGGGCTAGACAGCTGCTGCCATTTTCTGACAAACAGGATTTGCCCCTCCCAGGTGAATATACTGTCTCCAGCATTTCTAGAATAGTTGACTTGTGGGCCTTGTGAACCTTTGTTTCAGTGGATTTCAGGGTGCATGATATTATCCAAGCAAGACAGATGAGCTTTGTTGGGGATTCAATACTCAGAAGAATAGGAAGAACATTATGCATAGCACAGGGGGAAAACAGGACAGTGTGCTGACTTCCTAGAGCTCTAAGATCAGATAGGCTTCTGAAGCTGATAGGTAAGCTTATACTGACACTCATGAGACAGCTTTGCAGGATGACACCAAGCTGGGAGAGGTTGCAAATGCTTTGGAGGATAGGGTCATAATTCAGAATGACCTGGACAAACTGGAGAAATGATCCACAGTAAATAGGATGAAGTTCAATAAAGACAAATGCAAAGTACTCCACTTAGGAAGGAACAATCAGTTTCACACATACAGAACAGGAAGCGACTGTCTAGGAAGGAGTAATGAAGAGAAGGATCTATGGCTCATAGTGGACTGTGTACAGCTGTGGTTGCCTCATCTCAAAAGAAGACATATTGGCATTGGAAAAGGTTCAGAAAGGGGTAACAGATTACGGGTTTGGAATGGGTCCCATCTGAAGAGAGGTTAAAAAGACATGCACTTTTCTGCTTAGAAAAGAGGAGACTAGAGGGGGATATGACAGAGGTCTATAAATGCTCACACAGAGCGGGTTCCGCCCATGACGACTGACCAGCTCCCGCTCTGTGCTGATTTTTCAGAAAAATGCAAAGACATGTACTTTCACTTCCTGGGGAACAAAGAACTTCTGAATGATGCCAAGAGAGGACAGAGCTAGCAACACTAATTATTCCTAGACTTGCGAGTAAATTAATAGGCAGAAGGTTTAAAACAAACCAAAGGAAGTTTTTGCTTCTCACAGCGCACAGTTAACCTGTGGAACTCCTCGCCACAGGATGTTGTGAAGATCAGAACTTGAACAGATTCAAAAAAGAGGGAGATAGATTCACAGAGGTGAGGCCCATCAATGGCTATTAGCCAGGCTGGGTAGGGATGGTGTCTCTAGCCTCTGTTTGTCTGGAAATGGGTGACGGGGGAGGGATCACGTGAGGCTCACGACCCTCTGGGGCACCTGGCTTTGGCCACTGTGGGCAGACAGGACACTGGGCTGGATGGACCCTGGTCTGGCCCGGCCTGGCCGTTCTCTTGAGAGAGGTGGTTATTACACATGCGCACTAATTGTAGCCTCTGTCCTTGTACGTCAGTGACCACCCTGTGCATGCCTGACGCCCCCTGACGCCGCATGGTCCCGGCCAGGGCGGGGGCTGGGCTTGCCAGACAGAAATGCTCAGTTTTCCGTTAAAAAAATTGGAACCAAAAGTTGTATTTGGCCGTGCTGCCGCAATGCCCCATGGGAGTCGATTCCGTCGATCCCTGGACTCCTAGGCCGGATGGGCCATTGTGAACGTCAGCGTCACGCCTCTCTGCAGGCCGGGCTCCTGAGTCTGACTCCATCACCCACGATGCACCATCCTCCCCCCTCGCTGGGAAGGCGGCCGGTGCCGCCCGGGGAAGGGAGCGAGGGCCCTGGCGGTGGGGGGTGGGGGTGCTCCAGCTGGCAGCCCGGCCCAGGGAGGACAGTAGGGACAGAAGATGCAGACGTGCCGCTCTGACAGCGCCCCCATAGCCTGTCCCGACGGAAACACAAACTCTCGGTAGGAAGGGGAACTCGTCCAGGCAACGTGGTTTCAGGTTTTCAACACTGACTTTGTTTTGACATGTTCTGCGGAAGGACCCAGCTTGAAAAACAGTTTTGTCAAAAGCATTCGCTTCCGTTGCAAAGCAGCGCAGCCAGCGCCGGTCCTGTGAGTAGGTGTGACGGACTGGGCCGTGTCTGGGCACAGCTGAGGGCGTCCGCTCAGGGCGAATTGCTCAAATCCGGGGCTCCTTACAGCCCCCGACTGGTGACCTTTCCACACAGGCCGCACACCAGTCCCACAGAGCGCTTCAGCAGCCTGCCTGAAGCCTCCCGAGCAAAACCCCTCCGACACCCCACCAATATCCGTGCCCCAGATGGCCCCGGGCCTATACACGGGTGGGGGGTCCTAGCACCCAATCCCACCTACCCCAAACAAGTTCTGGGGCTCCTTACAGCCCCCGACTGGTGACCTTTCCACACAGGCCGCACACCAGTCCCACAGAGCGCTTCAGCAGCCTGCCTGAAGCCTCCCGAGCAAAACCCCTCCGACACCCCACCAATATCCGTGCCCCAGATGGCCCCGGGCCTATACACGGGTGGGGGGTCCTAGCACCCAATCCCACCTACCCCGAACAAGTTCTGTCCGGTTCCAAGAAACCAGCCACAGATCCCTGGTCAATTTACCCTCTGGACCTTACCCCACAAATCACGCTGGGCCAATCCTTTAGAATCTAAAACTAAAGGTTTATTAACACAAGAAAGAAAAGCATGAGAGTAAGGTTATTAAAGTACAGTACGTTACATGCACCGAATCTCCCAGTTCTCGATGCAGGCTCTAGCAGAGATGTTGCAGCTGCTGGTTACAAGTTCTTATTGCACATCCTACGATCAGGATGGGTTCACAGGTCTTCCGGGCTCTTCGATCCCTGCAATGCTGCCTCTGGGATGAAGTGCTGAGCTGAGAACAAAATGGCATCGACCACATGGCCTCTTTATACTCCTTCCTGGCCTCTTCTTGTATGCAGCAAGTCACCTGGTCAGAGGCCAATCTCTATGTTTCCTGCTGGCTGCCCTCAGGTGACAAATCCCATTCTTTGGGTGTGTCCATAGCCTATTGAGAGTCATTGTTCCACAGGGCTTTGCTACTCAGCCTGTCCATAGCCATGCTTAACCACATTCACAGAAATATTCAGCTTCCACACAGATTACAGATTCCTACCCACACACATAGACATTATATACTCACATAAACAGTGTACATAAGATTAACAAACAATAATCTCCCATTCAATACCCCACATGGCTCCCCCCATACCAATTTCTGGGGCCAGCACCCCCACCTAGGGGTGCAGCAGTGATCTGGCTGCTTCCCTCCAATTTAGTAATGTGACAGTAGGGCTGCCAGATGGTTTCAACAAAAACACTGGACACACTTGACCTTCCATCCCAATCTGATAGAGACAATACTGGACAGTTCTATTTACTCAATTATAGTTTCTCAATTTTTTCCCCAAACAGAAAGCTCAAATACCGGACGGTTCGGTTAAAAACAGGACCCCTGGCAACCCTGCCTGTGAGCCGGGCAGGCGTAGAAACCCCGCAGTGGAGAGTGTGGCACAGTGGGGGGGTCCCCCTGCGCTGGGATGGGAGATTCCCATTGACTCACCCACATGTGGATTAACCCAGACACCCAGGCTCAGCCCCCCAGGGAGAGACAAAGGGAGGAAGACGGAGACCAGCACCTGGCTGGGGGCAGGGCTGGAAGAGAGTTTTAGTTTCTGGCTGGAATCATGGGGGAAGCAGCCTAAGCAAGGGGCTGGGATTTAGGGCCCAGGCTCCCCCATCTCAAGGGGGCGGAGGCATCCTAGGCCTGCCCTGGAACCAGATTCCATCTGTGCTGGGCTGTATCCTGGAGAAGCAATAAACTCCCTCTGTTCTACTGGCTGGTGGAGTCTGTTCCTGCACCCCCACGCCCTGCCACAGAGAGCAGGGGTGTAGGGAGCAGCCCCGGGCCCTGGGGCCTGCCCAGCCCCCCAGCGGGGCTGCAGACGGGGCTGTGAGAGGGGAGCGGGGTGGCTCCGAGGCGGGCAGTGGGCAGGTGCAGAGAGCTCTCTGCAGGGACACACCCAGCAGGGCAGGTGCAGAGAGCTCTCTGCGGGGACACACCGAGCAGGAGCTGGTTGCTGGGGATTGACTGCACCCCTCCCACACGCCAGCCCCAGTGTCATGGGCATTCACGGCCCTCCGTGTCGTCTCCACACCCTGACCCGCCTCAGGCCGAACCGCTCACCCAGCCCGGCTCTGCACGCGGGGTAGTGCCACGTGTGTCCCGTCGGCCAGTGAGCGTACGGCTGAAGCAGGGCCCAGGAGCCCGGGGGGAAGAGGCTGAGCCGCAGGAAGTCGCTTCTCTCTCCCGATGTGGTGTCATGGGCATTCACGGCCCTCCGTGTCGTCTCCACACCCTGACCCGCCTCAGGCCGAACCGCTCACCCAGCCCGGCTCTGCACGCGGGGTAGTGCCACGTGTGTCCCGTCGGCCAGTGAGCGTACGGCTGAAGCAGGGCCCAGGAGCCCGGGGGGAAGAGGCTGAGCCGCAGGAAGTCGCTTCTCTCTCCCGATGTGTCCGTCCGTCGTGCACACCAAGTGAGAACCTGCTGTGGGGTGTCACTACAATGTGCCGTGGGGCTGTGACGGGCCGGGCCGGGCCTGCGCGCTGCTGAGGGCGTCCGCTCAGGGCAAATTGCCCCAGACTGGGGACCCTTCCCAAACAGGCCACATGCCAGTCACACCGAGAACTCGAGCTGCCAATCCGCCAGCAGGCAGCCTCACGAGCAAAACCCCTCGGGCATCCCAGCTCTCCCTGCGCCCCAAACACACAGGTGAGGGGATATAGAATCCAACCTCACCTCCCCCGAACGGGTTCTTCCGGCCCCAAGAAACCAGCCACAGATCCAAGGTCAATTTACTCTCTGGATCTTACCCACAAATCACACTGAGCTGATCCTTCAGAATCTACCATCTAAAGGTTTATTAACCAAAGAAAGAAAAGGTGGAGTGAGGTTGTTAAGGCGAATCCGTCACACGCACCAGTCCCCCAGTTCTCGATGCAGGCGCTCAGCAGAGATGTTCCAAACTGCTGGCTTAGAAGTCTCTGGTGTCCATCCTGTGTCAGGCTGGGTCAGAAATCCTTCCCGGCTCTCTGTCCCTCGCAAGGCTGCATCTGGGATCAGTAGCAGAATTGAAGATGGAGACCACCACATGAGATTTTATATCCATCCCTGGTGTCTCCCAAACTGGAGCTGGTCACATGATGGCATATTTCACATGCCAGCTGCCATTAGATACTGACTGGTCTGTAGGGTTCCAGACACATCCCTCAGGTGCGTGTTGGCCTCTCGGAAAGCCATTGTTCATGCAGCAGGGCAAGTGAGCACCGCCAGGCACTGAACAAGCCTTCCTCACAGCCTGCAGTTCAGGCCCATTGCTCTGTCTCAAACAGAAAATTCCCTGCACAAGCACAGAGCTCGTACCCATCGCTCCACATACAGGGATCACACAAGTACGTGAGAGTCAGATACACAATCAGTAGAGCATCAGCTTTCATTTGACACCTCGCATGGCCCACGTGGTACAGAATTTGGGGCAACCCCACTGTGCAGTGTGCTGGGAAGGCAGAGCTGATCCTGGTGCTCCTTGGGATTCCCTCGTAGGTCGGGAGCTCTCTGTGCTGAGGAATGTCACAGCCACCTGTCCAGCCCTCCTTCTGCAGCAACAGAACAGGAGCACTCTGGTGAATTGTCCCCCAAACGGAGCAGCTCACAGCTGTCAGATGCTGCCCAGAGCTTTGAAGGGGGAGGGGGAGGGTGATATGCCTGCAGGGCAACAGAGATCACAAAACACTGAGCAGAGTGAGCAGGGCAGACATTGTGGGATACCGGCGGAAGCCAGTTCTCTCAACACAACAAACAGCGGAGTCCGTGCTGGCTCTTTGTCACCAATAATGGGGTGGAAGCGGGGGAGGGGAAGTTTTTTGTTGCCAAAACCGGGTGTTTTTCCCGACAGAAGTGGCATGGCCATGTACCTTTGTTGGGATTGAAAGTTTTATTCTTTTTATATTTGTATTTTAGGATGAATAATGTAGCAATATAAGGTAACATTATCATTCTATTAAGCTAAGCCCTTTAAGATATACAGTATATCCCTTTGTTTTAAAGTTTAGTGAATTTAGTAAGTAACGAGATAGGATTTTGGTGTTGTGTCTATGTTAATGAGATTAGAAATATGGAAGGCCTGGGCCTTCCATGTGAATTGTTGTGATTTTGATTTTGCTTAATATAAAACACTTTCTACTGCCTTCCTATTATCAATTAAAAAACACTTTTTATATATTTACCACCATTTGAAATGCTGGATGCCAAACAAGGTTTGGGGTGGAGGCTGATAGCTCATGACCACCCATGTAGT